TGTTTTAATGCTATTTAAAAAAAATTGAAAGGGAAGTCTTGGTGTGATTGGTAAAGTTGCTTCCATGTGACTAGGAGGTCACGGGTTCGAGGAGTAGAAAATAACCTCTTGCAGAAATGTAGGTTAAGGCTGCATACAATAGACCCTTGTGGTCCGGCCGTCCCCAGACGCCGCGCATAGCGGGAGTTTAGTGCACCCGACTGCCCATTTTTACTCCTGTTTCAAAAAGCTGGCCACATGGGGTTTTCCTGAACATCAAGAAATAATCTCCTATCTCCACTAACAACTTATATAGAAGAAAATGATCCAACAAAATTAAATATCTCCTGTGCTATTTTTTGTTGATCTCCTGTAGAAAATGTCACATTTGTATTTGATTATAAAACCAAATCTTCCCTGAAGACCTAAGTAATTAACTGGTTGTAAAGCAGATATTTCAATTATCAAAGTGCTACTAGGTCATTTGCTTTTAAACTAGTTAGATCTGCCTGCCAAGAATAAATTGAAATGTTGTATCTGTTGGGGTCCCTATTTGTATTGGAAAATGACAATATGAAAAATTGTGGTGCAAATAGTCATGAGTTGTATTGATTGGTTGTATTATTGGCAAGTCTTTTGATTGGATCTTAGTTTCACAAGGTGCTGTCACTATAGGGAAAGGAAGAGAAATTTGAGATCTCATTTGTCAAGTTTCTTTCTTTGTCCCACCCTGATTTCCATCTAGGTAAAATGACCTCAGCCATTTGCAACATCTTTGTAGCTTCTCTGTTCCCTATATTATTGAGTAAGTTTGTCTGTTGCATATGAGTTTTCAAGGATCTTGGAAAAACTACTTAGAAAACAAAGATCTTTGTCCATGAAGTTTGTGTAGTAAAGCATGGTAAGCTACTATTTCTGGTGTGAGTTTTTTCTCTAGAACTGTGGTGTTCGGTCAGCTTGCGTGCACCTCCACTAATTTCGCGGGATACCTGCCACCTCCCACGAGGTGACAGGTACCATGTAACCTAGTGTTTTTTGCCTCCGCTGGGGATTTGAACCTTAGACCTCATGATTCCCACCCACTTCATTGACCATTAGGCATTGTGAGTTGAGTTCTTATTTCTGATAATTTCAGCTAGAAACATGCCTTTTCAGTCCATTCATCAAAATTTTATTTTCAAAATTTGAACATCGATAACGGTTTTCAAAAGAGTTCAAGTTATAGTGCAAAGAAATTTTTGCGCGATCAGTTAAATTTATAATTTAACTAGTTATAGCAAGTTATTATTCTATTTCTTATATAACTTAGATTACCACATCCAGTTTAATATATATATAGTTACCTGTAACAGGTCAACTTAACTTGATAATATAAAAATGCTATGTATTGTCAGCATATATAACATAATACTCTTTCCGGAATATCAAAAGTTTCCTCTTATGGCAGAGTATTGCTTGAAGGGAGCTGTTAAATAATTAGAATGCCAGAGTAGTAGTTTAATTATATAAAAATAGATCAGATGTGTTATTTTTTGTTTTGTTTTACTCTTTGTAGGAACACATTTGCTACAAAAAAGCAAAATGGTAGGAGGATGTTGTGTTGGGCGATATAAATGAAAATGCTTTAAATTTGGTACTCCAGTTCCTTTATCAGCGTATTCGGCATGTTACTTCCATTACGACTTAAAAGCATCTGTCTCTCACCCAAATAGATAAATGAGTAAAATAATCAAAATGCTTCTCACCCCACTAGCATTATATTTAATATTTTAGATTTTGTAAGGACTGTAGTTTTATCTTAAAATATTAAAGGTGTAAGGTTCAATTTTCTCTAATATTCTTTCTTCTATTTATATTTTTGTGTATAAATGGAAGTTTTTTTGGAAGAACGTAACAGAAAACATATGATTTTTTAATAAAGTTGTGATGACAAAAAAAGGCGTTAGACTTTATATCGCACCTTAATATTCCGTTGAGATTGAATTCTCCTAACTTTAACTTAAGAGTGTGACTGGATGGTTAATGAGGTGGGAAGAGAGTTATGAATTTTTCTGAAATCAAAAATCACTATGTGATATCTGTACATGTATTGATAAAAAATAATAAATATTCGACGGAATAATCGAAGTGTGCTCAAATCAGCTCAGATCACACCATCATCAAATATTCTCTAAGAAGAAGGTTCGCCACACTTAAATTAAGCGAAGATTGTCGAGAACATGGCCAATAATACAGCAACCATTGCTTCAACCAATTTGGAAAAAGCAATGAATGCCAAAGGTAGTTGAAGCAGGGCCACAAGGTCTAGGTTGTGCAATTGCAGGATATCGTAANGGTACGAACAAGAAAGAAAAAATACCAGCATAAATATTATCCAAGGAACAAACACAAAGAAAGAAACAATTAATTGTTGTTTTATATCCCACACTACTCAAAACTTTCATAAACTTGACAAATATGTTGATTCAATCCTCGAATCAAGAAAACACAAAATTAAGGGTTCAGGTCACAAAATCAAGAAAACACAAAACTTTCATAAATATCAATATCAATTATTGATATTTACAATACATTTGCACTTCCATAATATGTAGGACCACAAAGGTAGTAACCATGCTAAAAATAAATAGTATATTTTTTAATAAAATAATGACATTAATAAAAAAAAAATAGATGAATAGGCACAGTCAATTGAGGGCCCATCAATAAACTAAAATAATCACGTAGTTGAACAAGAAGAGAAAATCCAACAGCAAAAATTATATTAAACACAACAGAAAAATCACCATTCAAAAGATTCCATCAAACCCTAGATGGGAAAGCTTAGCTACTCATAACCATACTAACAATCATGATAATAATTGAAAGCATTAAAATACAGATTAAGGAAGAACGAAAGAGAAAACTGTTGTGATTCGTCGCTTCCAAGTGTTCTTGTTGCCTTCTTGCCTCTCCAATAATGTCCTCTTCAGGTCGAATTTTCTCTAAAAACGTCCTTCCTCTTAGACATGTTTAGGGAGTATTTATAGGCTAGGGCTGAAGTCCTTGAGTTCAAATCCGGGTTGGAGATTTTTAACCTGCGACTTTTAATTATCGGGCTATAGATCTCGCGAAGCCAGGCTTATAGAGCGGTCAACCTGGCTATAGACCTCGCGAAGCCTGGTCTGTAGCGCAGTCAACCTGGCTATAGATCTCACGAAGTCTGGTCTGTAGCGCGGTCAACCTGACTATAGACCTCGCGAAGCTTGGTATGTAGCACGGTTTGGGTATTTCGTGCTTTTGTGCTCTTTTCTCGTATTTTTGTCCTCTTTTTGTGCAACTTTCATCGTATTTGTCTTCCGATGCTCCTACACATAAAACAACATAATTTAGCTCAAAAGTTGCACAATTAACCTCTAAACTAACAACATGTAAGGCGAGTAATGTACTAAAAATATAACATTTTGGCCAAACATCATTGATCTTGGGACTTATTTGTAGGTTGTTAATTGCTAAAAATATTGGAAATCAGCCGGCTAATAGCGGCATTTTTCTACATAAATCTTGTCAATTAATATCTCACTTTGCCTAATTAACACCGTCTAAACCAAAAAAAAATTAAATGGAAATATAGAAACATTACAATGACTTGATCGAGTTTTTGGGTTCACGCTACCAGCTTGTGGTTTGATGCAAGTTATATTCTTCCCAACTGCCACATATTCTTTATGAACCATTGGATTTTCATAATGTACATTTTGATATACATATTACTATTATTATTATTATTATTATTATTATTATTATTATTATTATATACATTTATTGGCTACCTGATGCCAATAAATGAAAAATGAGTTAATTTTAGTTGATTAGTAGGTTAAATTGATACACAATGCCAAATTCCCTTTGATAAATCGTCTAAATTTTAAGTCAGGGAGCCCCTCCGATCTCCACAAAATGTAATTGATTACATGAACGTAGAGTGCAATAGATTACTCTCTTGGGCTCCCAAGAGAGTATAATCTCTTTCACTCTAATTTCCTGACACTTCTTAATTTCCTGCATAAATAATAATTTCTCTGATTAAAAAAAAAAAATCTCTTGGTCTCCAAAAATGTTGATCCATTTAAGTCTATAGTTATTTGTATTTCATAGAGGTCTCAATATGAATTATTTAGTTCTCAACCTATTAAGTGCATTTGTTTTTTTTTCCTTCTCAATTACTTATTAGGTCTAAATTATTTAGATTTTATACATAATTTTAGTATCATTAAGATATTCACCTTAAATGTAACATTTTACCGCTGTACTATCTATTACAACGGCTGACACCACCATAGTCAATCGCCACAACATAACTATGATCATCAACCAGCTTCACCATCAGTCACCTCTATGATCAACCTATATCGTACAATCATTAACCACCTCGACTATCAGCCACCACCACTAACCTCCTCTACCGTCCGCCTGTACCGCATAACCACTAATATAAGCAGGGGCAAAGCTATGTTGGTCCAAGGGTGATCAACTGACCACTCTTTGCCGAAAAACTATTACTTGTTATTGATTAAAAATAGACTTTGAACACCTTCCTTGCATAGCCCACTAACAAAGGGTGTTCAAACCTTATTGAATTTCTTGATGTAGTGAAACAGGGCCACCTGGAGTTGATGGCCGGTGCAATTGTAGAAAAGATCCCATTTCAGACATCATATTTATGGCAAGCTTCATCCACTTGGAGGTAAGACTTAAGAGGGAGGGGGCCATATGATTATTGTATTATGTGATGCTGGTGATGAAAGGTGATAAAATTAATTATGGGGGTCCTCTTGAATCATGTGTTATCATAAATTGAGAGAGAATCACAACAAGAATTTTACATAAAGAAGGCAGGTCATTATTTTTTTTCTTTTTTTGGTATTTTCACAACTTAAGCATTTTCATCTAAAAAATATTTAATATTAAGAAAAATCATTTAAAACTTGAACATATTAAAATCAGGGTTCGGGGATATATCATTGTAATCACCGAGGATATACCAAATTCAAATATTGGATAACACAATCAAATTAAGTATAAGAAATCAAAATGTGGAACTTTGAACAATAGTTCCTGTTAAACTACTACAGTCCAGAAGCTAGCCTCAGACTCTGCTGATTGCTCAATTATCTTATTTAAATGTGAATACAAATAACAACAACAAAATAACATATGGTCGTTCGATCACCTCTTCTTTTAACCCCCAAAAAACACGAATTAATCCGTCCTTAAGTCATGATCACGACGAACATGGCAAATGCAGCAGCAATCAAAGCAACAAATTTGGAATTAGGAGCAATCCAAGAAGCAGTAGAAGGAGTAGGGCCATTTGGAGAAGAAGGTGAAGGAGAAGGAGATCCCAATTCAGGCAAAACATTGATAGCAACTTTCATTCCCTTTTCACAATGTTTGCCAACTCCACAAATGTACCATTTTTTGCCTGTTGTTGTGAGGGGAATCACATCATTTCCAGAAGTTAAGGGTGTAATATCATTACTTGGTGTGCAGCTTTTGAAGGCAGCTTGATCTGCTTTATACACATTGTGAGCATCTTTCTTGTACTTGAAGACTGCAACCACAAAATTAAACAGTTAATTAATTTATCTCATTGCATACCAAATGCACTATTGCATAAAAACACTTGTCATGTATATATGATGTTTTAAATTTAATACGGTCAACTAACGTTCAGAAGTTATAATTAAGCAAATAAAATTGTGCTCTTTCTATAAGTATTGTAATTTTTTTTAGATAAGATTGTCGCACAGTTCAATATGGTATCGAAGTAGAAAAAAGTACTGAATTTAAGGTCTCACCACCCATTACCAAAAAGAATTTTCGCACATTTGGCTATGAAAAAGATTTAGGTTCGCACATAAAGGGCGCGTTGAAGATCTAAGTAAATTAAATTGTATCCTATCTAAAACTTAAGTTTTTAAATGAGATGATTATACGTTACAGATTTTATGAGAGGAGGCTAAAGAACATACTGAGCTTATCTCCAACATGAAATTCTTTGGTGGCAGCCCAAGCCGTGTAATTAAAGTCGAGTTTCCAACCTTGATCATCACCAACCCAATGGTCAGTTGCCATTGCTGGAATAGCAACCATTGCAATAACAACAAATAGTGCAATCAAGAAAGTTGTAGAAGCCATTGGGATTGAAAGATTTATTGAAAAAACTGGAGTGTAGAATATTTTTGAAAGCTATAGATGATTTGAAGGTATTGAACCTAGGGACCTATTTATATGTTGTTAATTGCTAGTAAAATTAGTAAACCAGCCGGCTAATAGCGGCATTATAATACTTAAATCTTGACCATTTCACTATCTCCACGATTTTGCCTAAAGAATAACACCGTCTCTAAGCAAAATTATAAAAGGAATTTGATGTTGGTATGTGGATTGTAGATACGTTAATTACAATGACATTGTCTATTGTTTTGGGATCGCTACCTTGTGCCAAATTAATCCCCTCCACATGGCGAAATATACTTGATTATGTGAACATAGTTCATAATAAGTAGAAAAGATTATACTCTTTGACTCAAAAAGAATTTCTTTTTTTGATCCATTTACTATTTGCATAAGAACAACTCATTCAATCACATCGTCTAGGAAATTTTCCAATAGGTAACGATTGGCTATTTTAGACTATAAGTAGTACTACCAAATATTTAATAGTTTATACAATCTGCCGATATTTACCCTTCTCCACACATCAAATTCAAGTAAAGTTATAACAACGGAAGGAAAATGCATGTTATATGCTTAAAACGAACTGAAATATATTTACTGTACTAATGTTTCTCTCTTAAATATAATGGGCAGGCGAATAAGATGTTGTTTAGTGCTCTCCTAACATAAAATGGAAATTTTTCTAAGTCATTGCTTAAGATCACACGATATATGTACGATCTATTTTGCACGTTCTATTCAGTAATTTGCCTAGTGGCTTGTCAAGCAAGCTGTTGATTCGCCATCTATTTGGATTTGTTATATCAGAAGCTCATTTCGTGAATGTTGAAATCTGAGAAGAAGGGTGAAAGTAATGCCAAAAACTGAAATCTCCTTCCCATTTAACTAACGACGAAAAGAAGTAAATTAAAGTGGACCATGTGCCTACAAAAGTTGGGGAATTTTTTATATCAAAAATAGCCTGATTTATCGTAAGTAATTCAAAAATAGTCGCATTTCAAAAGTAATTGAAATTTAGTCATTTTTTCTAAAATAATATCTGGAAAAAAACACCCGTAAAAATCCGAAAAAGTTCTAGCATAATACGCTGGAGTTCAAATTTTTTACATATGAGGTTCCATCACAAATATGCTGGAATTTCATAATGTGCTAGAGTTCTAACATAATATGCTAGAAGTTTATACACAGGAGCTCCATAATCCAACATATTATGCTGGAACTTTCCGTGTTTCAACTAGGGTAATGTTGTCCAGATTTTATCTCCGCATAAAATAGTGACTATTTTTTAATGATTTTACAAATACTGATTATTTTTTTATTAACAATTCAAAAATTGACTAGCCCATGCTATTTTCACTACAAAAGTTGGAGGCATTCACTGGACTGGGCCTCATCAACAAAAAAATAGTTATTGGATTGTGTGGAAGGCCCATATTACTACAATATTTCGAGCCCAGTTCTTCACGTACAAGTCCACTTAGCCAAAAATTTACAGATATATGACACTTTTTGGGGTATTATTTAACTTTTGCCCTGCTTGTCCTATGGGTAGAATTTTAAAGTCCAAAGTTAAAAATACTGTCCATGGGGTAAGCGAGGGCAATATTTATTAAACTTGAAGTTCTCTACCCATGGGGCGATCTTGGACAAACATTCAAGACCATCCATTTTGAGAGCTATTTGTGTACTTCACCCATCCTTAACTAGGGGCGGAGCTACAAGACGCAAGGGAGTACTCCGTTGCGAATATGGTAGATATTGAATCCCCTATTCTGGTTCTGTTGCCCTTAACCTAAAACCCACCTAGCCAGGAAATACATCATATGCCTCAGCTGGAATTTGGATGTGCTGCATGATGTTACAAATAGAAATTATGCCAATGTATTAAAAGGATTTAGGTGTATGCTCAATAAAAACTCTCAACTGAAACTTCACCACTCATACCATGAGGCTATATTGGCTGCTGGTGCTGTGGCCAAGCATTGAATGGACGATGATGAAAAATTCATAATTCATATCACAGGGGTCATGTGATATGTGTTTAGCCAAGATTTTCTTTCAATTTTATTTATCACATGGGGGTCGGATACAGGTAAGGATGATAATAGAAGTTTCTAAAATAGGAGCGGAACTATGTGGTCCAAAGGAGTTCAATTGAATTTTCTCCGTCGTGAAATTATACTGTGCAAATATGATTAAACAAAAAAATTCGGTATATATATAAATTATTGAATCTGCTTAATGAAGCTTCTATGAGTGGATGAAGAATTCCTTTAGATCGCAGGTTCAAATCCCAGTCTAGTATTCTTGCAAATTTTTGAAGTCCCCTTATAACAATTTCTGGCTCTGCCACGAATCTAAAACATATATTCAGCAAAAATTTTTGACCGATACTACTAGGCTATGACTATAAGTGGTCGTAATCAAGATTCAACTACCATTTGAACCCACCTTCCCAATAGCCAATGTTACTGTTTTTGCTAGCTAAGGCACCCTAGCTGTGAGGTAAGCCCATAACCAATGCCACTTTCTTATTACACTGACCCTTTTGTTGTTTAGATCCGTGAAATGCAAGAAACTGTGCCTCTCAAATGCAGAGCATCACTTATTTTTTCCAAACCATAAAATTAGACATTGTCATATTCAATACCTCTATGTAATAATGGTTTCTTTATAAACCACAAACTGCTTGTTGAAGTCATCCTCACGAGAAACCCCACTTAAAAGCTACACTTTTTCACATTAACTAGCTACTATTTCAACTTAATCATCCTAGTTGATAACCACCACCTACACAAGTTCTTTTTTCACATTTCTCGTGATCTATCCCATGTTTGAGGAACCATAAAAATGCACGTAAAAAACAAAACAAAAAGCTTATTATAGCAGGCAATAAAGAATAGTATTTCGTCCATTTATCGCTAACTACAGAAGGGGGCAAAATGAATGTAGGATCAAATTCTGTAGGAAACCATCTAGTTGACATTCATGAAGTCTTGCATGAAGAGGAAGAAGATAAGGAAGAAAACAACAACACTTCTAATATGGCTGATAAATCAGACAAGCGATTCAACAGGCCTACGAAAAATAGAGAAATAAAAAGTGCTCCTAGGAATTTCAGCAGGCAAGTGTCACTAGAAACAGGCTTCTCTGTACTCAATGGAGAGACTTCTAAAGATAAAAATGAGAGAAAAGTACTTGGAAGAAGTGGGAAGAGTTTTGGAGGATTTGGTGTTAATGGAACTGGTATTGAAGCAAGAAATAAAGGAGATTTCAGCATGTTTAGGACTAAATCTACTCTTGTTAGGCAATCATCAAAGATACCACTTAGAAAAGAGAGTGGAATTGATCTTCAGAACAATAATGTTAAAGGAGGAATTGATGAAAATGTCAATAAGAGTGTACCTGCTGGAAGATACTTTGATGCCCTTAGAGGACCTGAACTTGATCAAGTCAAGGTATTTATCAACTTCTCATTTCCAAAACTTCAACGATGAATGCATAAAATTGTTATGATGTTTACATTGACGGAAGGGGAGCCTTAGAGCAACAGTAAAGTTGTCTCTATGCGACATATAGGCCACGGGTTCAAGCCGTAGAAGCAGCCACTAATGCTTGCATTAGGGTAGGCTGTTTACATCACATCCCTTGGGGTGTGGCTCTTCCCCGAATCATGCGTAGGTCTGAGATGCCTTGAGCACCGGGCTGCCCTTTTCTTACACTGGCAATGTAAAGAATTTTACACTTTCAATGTATTTTAACTTGGAGCCGAGGATCTACCTGAATCAGCCTCTCTACCTTACCAGGTAAGGGTAACGTTTGCGCACACACTACCCTCCTCAGACCTCACTTGTGGGATTAGACTGGATCTTCTGTTGTTGTTATTGTAGTAATGTATTTTAACTTGTTATAACAGGTAACATGATATCATTTTCCAAGTTATCAATCCCATTTTTTATGGATGAATACTTGTAGTTATCTTTCAGATGATCCTAGTGTGCATTATTTTGCACTGTCACTGCATAGATGTTAACTCAATTGTTATTCAGTATTACGATCTTTTCTGCAGGATTCTGAGGATATTCTTCTTCCGAAAGATGAAAAATGGCCTTTCCTGCTCAGGTTCCCTATTGGTTGCTTTGGTATCTGCTTAGGTCTTAGCAGTCAAGCCATCCTCTGGCGTTCTCTTGCTCTAAGTCCTGCCACCAAATTCCTCCATGTTCCACTTTTCATTAACTTGGTGATTTGGCTGTTAGGCGTGGGGATTCTAGTTGCAGTTTTCATAACCTACATGTTCAAATGTGCACTTTACTTTGAAGCTATAAAGAGAGAATACTCTCATCCGGTGAGGGTCAACTTCTTTTTTGCTCCATGGATTGTCTGCATGTTTTTAGCCATAGGTACACCGCCTAAAACAGCCCCAGAAACTCTTCACCCAGCCATCTGGTGTGTATTCATAGCCCCTATCTTCTTCCTCAATCTCAAAATCTATGGCCAATGGCTTTCGGGAGGGAAAAGGCGTCTTAGTAAAGTAGCCAACCCATCTTCTCACCTTTCTGTAATTGGGAATTTCGTGGGAGCCATTTTGGCTGCTAAAGTGGGATGGAAGGAGCCTGGCAAGTTCTTGTGGGCTATTGGCTTTGCACATTACCTTGTGGTGTTTGTCACATTATATCAGAGGTTGCCAACAAGTGAAGCGTTGCCTAAGGAACTGCACCCTGTTTATTCCATGTTCATTGCAACTCCAGCTGCAGCTAGCATTGCTTGGGGTGCTATCTATGATGAATTTGATGGCTTGGCAAGGACATGCTACTTCATTTCATTATTTCTCTACTTGTCGTTGGTTGTACGTCCCAACTTCTTCACAGGATTCAGGTGATTTTCTTATCCTTGAAACAGAAGAGAACAGCACAAAAGTTTAGAATTTTGAGAAAAACACGTCTCTGCCTCCATAATAACTAATATCTTGACTATCTGCAGATTTTCAGTTGCATGGTGGTCATATACTTTTCCAATGACCACAGTTTCAATAGCAACCATAAAGTATGCAGAGGAGGTCCCTTCTTTCATAACCAAGGCGTTGGCCTTGGCCCTTTCGTTCATGTCGACAACAATGGTCTGCATATTATTTGTCTCCACTCTTCTACATGCTTTTGTGTGGCAGACCTTGTTCCCCAATGATCTTGCCATTGCCATAACAAAGAAGAGATACAACAAAGATAAGAAGCCTTTGATGAAACGTTGGACAAAACAGTCCCCTCTTTCATTTGTCACATCAATAAGGAAACATCATTCAGGAGACAAAGAGTCTGTCTCTGATGAGGAGAAATGATAGCAAATCAAAAGTGCCACATATAATTGTAGAATATGGTACTTGGCAGCAATACATAATCAAGCAATTAGTCCTAAAGACAACAAGCAGACATTCCTATTACAGTGACCAGAAAAGAGGAAACAATTAATAGGTCTAGTAGCCTTTCCTACCATCATATAGTCATTTTAGTCAAAATATAGTCCCATCGGTCTGAATGATTCAATATCAGTAGCCAAAAATGAGCAATCTATTAAATTTGTAATTATCTAATTTCTTCAGCATTTGATACATAATATAGTTAATCACTCAAAATCTTCCAGCCTGATTGTAGTATGCCACCAGACAACAAACTAACCACGTCATTGCTTATAACTTTTGAAATCTTCAGAGCTCAATCAAATTACTCCAGAATTTCTTCAGAAGCTACTACTAGATCTATTTTCTTCTCTTGGAAAATAACATAGCAAAATTAAAGAAAATTGATAAATAAAGCTGAACAGCTCCCACTAAACAACACTTACTCATTTTTATTCACATGATGACACGGTGACTAACATCATCGTTTGTATTTAACCTTTTACATGTGTAGATATTGATTTTTACATAAAAATTATAAAGCTGGGGTGTACATTCGGACACACTTGACAATTTCAGACAGATTTTATGTACTGCATCGCCTCAGTCTGCCTTTTGAATCAAGCAAAGAGGGTTCATCAACACTAAGAAATGTGCTGCATTATGCCTCTAACGAATGCCCAAACTCCTACAAGAATTGAAATATAGGTTAATGGGATAAGTTGGATCACGTAAGAAGATAAAGCAAAACTGTCCCAGGGCTTTGGAGTTTGGTCGAGCATGTCATGGATTCGAACCCTGCCACAAACAAAAGCCTATATTTAAGTGGATAAGGGTAGAGTGGCGAGCCCAACGAGTTCCATGGACTTTCGAACTGTGCGCTCGCCACTGTGCCTCTGGATTTTTTGATTATCAAGAAAAAAAGAAGAAAGCAAAACTGTGTACCTGTTGATGATGCTAGAGACTTGACAAACTTCAGTCATCCCCACATCACTACCAAACTGAATTGGCTTTACTTTTAAGATCAGCTAGTTTACCCTTCTCTGTGTGTACTATCTATAAAAAAAAAGAATTTTGAGCTGATTAAAGTTAATTATAAACATAATGCTGAAAATATTGCTACTTGAAAAGCCAATTAGAAACATGAATGTAGACTGAAAACGCTAGCAACCAGGGAATAAACAGAGTTTACCTCATGGTTTTGTTGGAAATAAGCCCATCTATTTTCTTTAGAGCCCTTGTACCAAAAAGATGTACAAAATCAAAAATCCATACACTGTTAAATTATTTGAGATCAGAAAAAGAAAATGGAGAAATAAATGGAACCTTTGACGGAAAGAAGGATGGTCTTTGTGCTTTCAACTGCACTCCAGCAGGTTGGGGCTCAGATGTAAGAGATAGCTGATAAAAAACAAGAAAGATTTATCACAATTTGATGATCTACGACACAAGAATAGAAAATCGTATAGTAAAAGCTGCAATATTGTGTCCCAAAAAAACACATCAAACCATGTAAAGATGTAACTCAACCTTGTTAAACATTCAAAGTAAAGATGTAAAATATTCAACCTTATTAAACAGATCAATTGGCGGATTATGATGAATCCTCTTTTCAGTATGAAAATTGAACTCCTGCGGCAGAGGCAAAGCAATTTATGTGTCATTATTGGAATTTCAAACATAACAATTACAACTGAAAAGTCTAGACATGTCTGGTATAACCATTGGCACTGTGGTTTCTCTCTTGGTGTTTCGGAACACTCCAATGTCTCCTTTACTTGATAGGATCTATATAAAACAAATAGTTGTTCAGTTCAGATAACTCATATAAAATCTTCCCGAATTTTCTTAAACGTACCTTTTTATTAAGGGGAAGAGCTTTGAAGTTGTAGGTTGACGTAGATTCCTCCTGCTTTGGAGCCTCTACATGATTATCTCTGATAAACAAAAGTTACCATTTCTTAGTCACCCACACCATTAAAATAATTTACAGTTACAGTCATTGACAATCAATCTTTTAACTGAAAAAAAAAATGTAACAACGACAACATAGAGAGAATTGTGATAACAACATAGGCTGCTATTCAACACATATACACATAAATATATGAGAGATACAATTCCACAAGTATATCAAGATTCACCTTCTGAATTCTCTATTTCCACATTCCATGGTTGAATTATTACTGGGCTTCTGCAACACCTGCAAACAGAACCTTAGACTTCATCAGAACTGCACTTTTATGTAATATTCCAGGCTAGCAAAACCACAATTGTAAGAAGCCACCAACAAAGAGGGAAACACTACAAGCTCCCAAATCTGTGATGGTTGTTGCCACTATTCAGTTTCCAATTTCGCTGGTTCAGCCCTTTAAGCTAAATTAGAGAGTAGAGTGTGTATGCATAAGCACAATACGTGATAAGAACTGATACGTAACCTTGTTACTAGTAGAAGAATTGGCTGCAGAAGTTGAAACGGCTGAACGATGTTGCACGGCTCTCTCTGACGTCTTCAGGTGAAATTCCTGAAAACAATGTGTCAAGAGAGAAATTTAAATTCACTTAGCAGCAGAATTATGCTTACAAGCACTACACTAAGTGAAAATTCATGGAATACAAGTGACTAATTCCCATAGTCATAGGCCAGACAGTATAATATGAATGGAGCTGGTAATTTAAGAACGGAGAAGAAGCAAAGACACCAGTCTGATTCCTTACTTGAAACTGCGGAAGTCGTGGATTGCTTCTTTTTGGAGGCATAGAAGGACCTTCCAAGATCTGTGAGATAGAGAGTTGTCAATAACATGCAGATGAAGCAATGGCCTCTAAGAAAGTATGCTTACTAACTTTTTTATTCAGTGGAAGAGCTTTGAATCTTCGGATAGCTGTCGGCGCCAAATTTTCTGCTTGTTCACTACCTTTTGGCCTGAAATTGAAATGCCATGTTAACATGTTGACAATGGTCCTCAAAGACAGTATAAAGATAACTGAAACCAGTTAATGAAATCAACCTTGCTCTTTGTGCTCTATGAGTTGTTTGAAGCTCAGGCTCTCTAGGAATAGTTATTCTGGGCTTAGCCAATGTGTTGTTGCCATCAACTTTTCCATCCTGCAAGATTGTTCAAAATTTGTGTCTGAACTCCAATACAACAAGTATATCCAGTCATCACCAAAAGTTCTTTATGGTTAAAGATCTATAAACTCAGAGCTCTAGACTAGGGATTCCCCAAAACTTTGTACTAAAGACATTCTTCAGCCACTCAAATGTGGGTCTGGCTAATAATTGAAAACTAAGGTATATATTACTAGTGGCATCATTTAAGTAAAAAATATGGGAGCTCACACTTTGAACTACTATGATGAACAAAAAACTTCATAGCTATAGGAAAAATATAAAGAACAGATACGATCAAATGAAACAGCTGAAGCAAGATTCCCTCCATTTTCATATAAGGGCATAAGGGAAGACATTGCCAACTCAAGAAAAGATATCACAGGTAAAGGGAAAATATAAAGGACAGACATGACCAAAAGAATGAAAATACAAAGCCACTAGTGTTTAATTGCACATGAATGAAAACTTCTAACTTTTTTTATGAGCAAATAGATAATAGAACAGAGAGAAAACACTTACTCGCTTAGGTGCCTTGTGAACAAAACTAAACACAGGCTTTGCTTCAGCAACCTGTAAAGCAGAAACAGATATTTTTCAACAAAAATGAGCAATCTAACATGAGAGAGATGCAAAAGGTCCACAGACGAGGAAATAGACTTGAACACTAGAAAGAGCGAGGATGCATTAGTGTTTTCTGACGAGATTGCACAGCTGGAATAAAACTTGGCCGACTGACTAGATGAGAAGACCAAGAAATGTTTCAAATTTACTTTTTGGGTAAGGGTCGTGTTTACCTTCCAGCCAGAACAAACTAACTCTGTCTACCACTATTTGTAATCTACTCCAATATGTAGAAGTGCCAAAATTCCAACATGTAATACACTTCCCACGTAAATTCTCAACCTCTAAAATTTTATTCAATTAATTAGCAGAAAATATAACTCCAAAATTCATCATGATCCCGGTAACGGAAAAGTAGCGCTAAGGTGGAAGCAGCAAATTAATAGTTATTGAGACTCATCACTAATATGGCACAATGCAGAGAAGCAAAATCCAAAGGGCAAAATATAAAAGATACCTTCCGCAGATGACCACTCTCAAGTTTTTGTCTCTTGGCAGCTTGAGTCTCAACCACAGCAGAACTTGTTCCATTTTTCTCAACCAAAAATGTGGTTAACCTAGCATACCGGAGAAAGAGGTGTTTCAAAGAGACCACAGACCAGTAAAGTATTTAGCAAGGCCAGTGATGATGTCCTCTGTACGACCAAACAAGGTTTATTCACAACCAATTACATGCAAAGTGGCAAGAGTTTGCTCAGCATTCACTAAAAGGTGGAATACAAAAATAAAATAAACAACACATTTAGAAGATCTCTCGCTCTTTGAAGATTTACACATTCTAACT